TTCTTGTGTTATTTTGGTGAAAAATGTGTCTGCTTTTTGCCCTTGCCTGAGGCTAAAGTGAAGAGATTTGGATTAATTCCATTGGCAGAGGAAATCTCAAAACAGTCTTGTATTGACTCTGTTATGTGCTTACCAGTGTAACTTTAATGAAGATATATTATGAAAATGAGCAACCTGAGCAAGAAAAAAATATTTGAGGAGAAAAAGAGCACCATGAAATGGAATGGAGCTAAATTCTGTGTTCAAGGAGATAAAACAGATTAAGAAATGTAATAAAGAAAGTGGTGACCTCAGGGCAAGATCTCATTCCCCTAAATTTCCAACTTGTGAAAGAGAATTAAAGAAAAGCTTAGAGCCCAGTTGATGGCACATGCTAGTAGAATTTGCTGAAGGAGTCAGAGGCAGGAGGATCAAAAGTTTGGTCTACAGAGCAATTTTAAGGACAGTCAAGCTTAGGCAATGAAAATAACCATTGAAAATGGAAAGCTGGTAAAGATGTAACTGAACAAGGAGGCCATGTTTCACCTCCAGCAAGCAGCAGAACTTGGCAGCTTTAGCCACATGGTTCTGGCTTTAGAGTCAAGAAGTCACTAAGAAAAGCCACTGAGGCCAGATATGTGTCAAGGGTATCCCTGAATGGAGGCTTAGAGAGGCCATTGTATGAAGCTGTGAAGGTGATATCTAGATTGCCTTGGAGAACCCAAGATTTTGGAGATGCTAGAGCCCTGGGATACCTGCTGAGGAGAGCTGCTAACAGGGAGTGGAACCAGCTCAAGAGAAAGAAGTCTGTTGATAGTCAACAAAGTTGAAAGGAGTTGGGGATTTGGAGAGTGTTTTGACATCAGACATGGAGACGCAGAGTTTGGAGTTTGCCAGCTGGTTTTTGGTCTTGCTTTGGTCCATATTTCCTTACTATGCTCCATTCCCTATGTTTTGGAGCAGTAATGTATATCCAGTGCCATTATATGTTGTAAGTATGGGATCTGTTTTTTGATTTTGATTTTATAGGGGATCACAGTTAAGAGATTGCATGAATCTCAGAAGAGACTTTGAATTTTGGATTTTTAAACATTGTTTAGACTGTGATAGACTATGAGACATTGCACATTATTTGTTTAACTATGCAAAGATGTGTTGCATTTTACTATGTAAAATGTATTGCATTTGTTTATGTTGCAGAATATTTGTTTAACTATGTAAAGATGTGTTGCTGTTTTACCTTGCCTACCTAAGGCACCTGATTGGTCTAATAAAAATGCTGAACAGCAATAGCAAAGGAGAAGGTATAGGTTGGACTTTCAGACAGAGAGAGTAAGGAGGAGGAGGAAGAGGAGGAGGAAGAGTTTAGGCTCAAGGAAGAAAGAAAAAGAGATGGCAAGGAGATGCCAGGGGCCAGCCAGACACAGAGGAAGCAGAAAGTAGAACATACAGGATGAAAGAAAGGTAAAAAGCCCCAAGGCAAAGCACAGATGAATAGAAACAGGCTAAAGTGAGTTAAAAGAACTAGTGGGATAAGCCTAAGCTAAGGCTGAGTATTCATAATCAATAATTAGCCTCTGTGTTTTTATTTGGGAGCTGGTTGGTGGCCCAAAGAAAATTCCAACTACGATAGGGACTTTTGAAGTTGGACTAAATGCATTTCTGCATTATGATATAGCTACAAGCCTTTGGGGGCCAGGGAGTGGAATGTGGTGGTTTAAAAGAAAATGGCTCCCCAAAGGGCGTGGCACTGTTAGGACGTGTGGCTTTTTGGAGAAGGTGTGGCCTTGTTGGAGGAAGTGTGTCACTGTGGAGGTGGGCTTTGAGGTCTCATGTATGCTCAAGCCAATGCCCAGTGACACAGACCACTTCCTGTTTCCAATGGGCCAAGATGTAGGAATCTTAGCTCCTTCTCCAGCACCATGTCTACCTGCACGCCACCGTGCTGCACCATGATGATAACAGACTAAACCTCTGAAACTATAAGCCAGTCCAATGGGCCAAGATGTAGGAATCTTAGCTCCTTCTCCAGCACCATGTCTGCCTGCACGCCACCGTGCTGCACCATAATGATAACAGACTAAACCTCTGAAACTATAAGCCAGCCCAATTAAATATTTTTCCTTTATAAGAGTTGCCGTGGTCATGGTGTCTCTTCACAGCAACAGTAATCCTAACTAAGACAGAGCCTGTCCCTGCAGAGCCAGTATAGGGTGGGCTAGAAGAACACAGGCTGAGCAAGGGCAGTGACCAATGAGACAGGAGTGGCCAGGACCAAAGAGGGCCTGGGAATCCTTCAGAAACCCTCGGGCTAGCCTGCCACTAGGCACAGGCTCCCTTACATTGACAAGCCCTGGTTCCTCCAGAAAGAAGCTGTAGGACCCTGCTTGGATCTCAAAAGCAATAACTTAAGGTAAGTTTGACCTCTACCTCCGGTCCTCCCAAATCTACACCCCTCCCTACGTGGAGTGAGCCCAGCTGGACAGGCTGACCCAGAGCATTGAGAAACTGAAATTCTAAGACCGGTAGAGCCTCAGCCCCAACAATAAGAAAACCAAACATACTTACCAAAATACCTCCACAAGAAACACAAAAAAGAGAAATCAAAATAAACAAGCAAAAGACCATTAACAAGATGCAGTAACAAGGCAGTGATTTTGAAAGTGAAAAAAACAGAGAGTGTCATTGGCCAAGGAAGAGGCTTGGAAGCTAAGGGGAGAGATAGAATATAAGGAGCTGAGTGAGAGGCGCAGAAGCACGGGCAGCAGCAGCTTCCTCTGGGCTCACAGGGAGACAGCACAGGGCCTCTGAGGCCAGGCTGCATCAGCACCATGGCAGGCCACAGCCCCACCTGCACCTAGAAGAGCGATTGCCAGAGCTGCTGCACCGCCTGCCCTGGATGTGACCACCGGAGCCACAGACCTGCCTATACAGAGAGGAGAGACCATTGGAGCCTTGGAGCTATCTACACCTGGAGGAGTGATCATCGGAGGTTCAGCCCTGCCTGTACCCAAAGGAGCGTTCAACAGAGCCACAGCCCCAACTACACCAATTGGAGGAAAGGGACCCCGTGAAGCACAGGCTCCACCTGGACCAATTGGAGGAAGAGATGGGCAGACAACAAGGTAAGAATACATTCAAAAACGCAAAGAGCAATACAGCACCGCCAGAAACTAGTGGTTCTACAGCAACAACACCTGAACATCCCAATGCAGATGAAGCAGAAGAAAACGACCTTAAAAATAACTTTATGAAGATGATTGAGGCCCTTAAAGAGGAATGAAAAAAAATCCCTTAAAGAAATGGAGGAAAAGACAAAAAATTGGAAGAGATTTACAATTCCCTTAAAGAAAACCAACAAAAAGCAATCAAACAGGTGAAGGAAACGATTCAAGACTTGAAAACTGAAATAGAGGCAATAAAGAAAACACAAACTGAGGGAACTGCAGAAATGGAAAATCTGGGTAAATGATCAGGAACTACAGATGCTAGCATAAACAACAGAATACAAGAGATGAAGAGAGAATTTCAGGTATTGAAGATATGATAGAAGAAATAGATTCATCAGTCAAAGAAAATATTAAATCCAACAAATTCTTAACACAAAATATCTAGGAAATTTGGGACACTGTGAAAAGACTGAACCCAAGAATAATAGGGATAGAAGAAGGAGAAGTCCAGCTCAAAGGCACAGAAAATATATTCAAGAAAAATCATAGAAGAAAACTTACCCAGACTAAAGAAGGACATGGCTATGAAAATACAAGAGACTTACAGAACACCAAATAGACTGGACCAAAACAAAAAGTCCCCTTGCCACATAATAATCAAAACACCAAACATACAGAATAAAGAAAGAATATTAAGAGCTGTGAAAAAGGCCAAGTAACATATGAAGGCAGACCTACCAGAATTTTTTTTTTCTTTTTCGAGACAGGGTTTCTCTGTGTAGCTTTGGAGCCTATCCTGGCACTCACTCTGGAGACCAGGCTGGCCTCGAACTCACAGAGATCTGCCTGCCTCTGCCTCCCGAGTGCTGGGATTAAAGGTGTGCACACCAATGCCTGGCCAGACCTACCAGAATTACAACCAACTTCTCAATGGAAACAATGAAAACCAGAAGGTCCTGGTCAGGCATTATGTAGACACAAGACCACGGTTGCCAGCCCAGACTACTGTATCCAGCAAAGCTTTAAATCACCATAGATGGAGAAAACAAGATATCCCTTGACCAAACCAGATTTAAATAATACCTTGTGACAAATCCAGCCCTACAGAAAGTAATCCCACACCAGAAAATCCCTAAGAAGAGAAACACACACACATTACTACCACTACCATCAAAAACAAAAATAATAGGAACTAGTAATCACTGGTCATTATTATCCCTTACTATTAATGGACTCAGTTCACCTTAAAAAGACACAGGCTAACAGATTGGATACAAAAACAGAATCCACCCTTCTGACTACAAGAAACACACCTCGACTACAAAGACAGACATCACCTCAGAGTAAAGGGTTGGAAAAAGATTTCCAATCAAATGGACCCAACATCCTTAGCCATCAGGGAAGTACAAATCAAAATGATTCTAAGACCTGTCAGAATGGCCAAGATAAAAAACTCTAATGACAGCTTATCCTGGAGACGATAAGAGGAACACTCCTTCACTGCTGGTGGGAGTGCAAACTTGTATAGCCACTTTGGAAATTAGTGTGGCAGCTTCTCAGAAAATTGGGGATCAATCTATCTCAAGACCCAGCAATACCATCATTGGGCATATGCCCAAAGGATGCACACTTACACCACAAGGACACTTGCTCAATTATGTTCATAGAAGCATTATTTGTAATAGCCAGACCCTGGAACTAACTTAGCTGCTCAACAGAAGGATAGGGAAAATGTGGTATATTTACACAATGGAGTACTACTCCATAGTAAAAAACAAAGACACCTTAAAATTTGCAGGCAAATGAATGGAACTAGAAAAAACATCTTGAGTGAGGTAACCCAGACCCAGAAAGACAAATATAATATGTATTCACTCATAAATGGACATTAGACATAAAGCAAAGGCCAATCAGCTTACAGGCCACAACTCCAGAGAGTCTAGGTAACAAAGAGGACCCTAAGAGAGACATAAATGGATCTGCCTAGGAAGGGGAAAAAGACAAACTCCCCCACGTACATTGGGAGTGTATGGGGCAGGGGGGAGGGTGGCAGGGGAGAGGGGAGGAGGAAAGGGGAGTGGGGGAAAATGCATAGCTCAGTTAAAAAATGGCAAAAAGAAAAAGTAAGAAAAATATGCCCCAACGAAGAAGAATGAGACAAAAAGTCCATGGAAATGCCTTGGAGTTTGTTTGGTGTTGGTCAACTGCTCCTGGGCATGGGACCTTCCCTGATGTGTGGTTAATATGCCCAGTGAGACTCCATTGGAGATTCTCCCTTTTCCATCAGGCATCAATTGCAGATAGGTTTCTAGTAAGGGATGTGGAGCCCATGTCTGCTTTCTCTTCTCAGTGCTCGGGTCTCATCTGTCATCCTCAGGTGTGCTGCTCATGTGTGCATCAGTTCTTCCTTGGGTTCCTCTGTCCCCCCCTGGTTCCCACAATCTTTCTGCATACATCTCTTGATGTATGCAGAGCCTTGATGTACGCAGAGCCTTGAGGGGAGGGCTCTGAAAAAGACATACCATTTAAGACTGAGTGTTCCAGTGAGACATCTTCGCACTGTCCAGTTGTGATCTCCAGGTTTATTCCCGTCTACTGCAAGAACAAGAGTCTCTTGATGAGGCCTGAGTCAGGTACTGATCTGTGGATATAGCAGTATGCCATTAGGGATCATTTTATTGCTAGATTCCTTTAGCAGAATAATAATATTAAGGAGACAGGTGGAACTTAGATTTTATTGTTTTTTGACCAAGAGATGGGGTTCAAAGTCCATCCTGAAGGCAGGGTCCATCTTCAATGGTCTGCAAAGCTATGGGTCCCTGTAATCCTACTGCCCTCATTAGGTCCACAGTTGGGGTAAAGGTGAGACCATGAGGATGCAGCAGGGCACCAGTCTTTACACCTCCTCTCTAAAAGGTAGAGCTGGGGGCGGGACTCTGGATTCCAAACTCAGACTCAAAACCCACCAAGGAAGAGGCTGCTTTCCAGAAGACAATGAGGACCCATGGTCTGGGAGCCTTGGCCTGGGAGAGATGCAACCATAGACTGGGCTGGGGAACTTGAGGGAAGAGAGAGGACAGCATGGGGGTGATGGGGATGTCATTCTGTATATGTGTTTCTCTTATTGGTTGATGAATAAAACACTGTTTGGCTAGCGGCCAGGCAGGAAGGATAGGCAGGGCTACCAGACTAGGAGATGAGGAGAATTCTGAAAAAGGTAGGCAGGGAGAGCCCACTGGAGAGTTGCCATGAAGGACCTGGAAGATAGGATGCACCAGGCGTTCTCTGGTAAGCCAAGATCATGTAGAAACACATAGATTTATAGTTATGGGTTAATAATTAAGACAGAATTAGCCAATAAGAAGCCCTAGCCTTTGGCCAACAGTTTAATAGTTAATATAAGTCTTTGTGTGCTTATTTGGGGCTGAGAAGGGCAGCGGGACCTGGAGAAACAAGAAAACCTACAGCAACAACGGGGAGGAGCACCCCCGACACAGGACAAGATGTAGGGGTCACTTGCTTATCTGAGATCTGGCTATCCCCGTTCTTCCCAATGAGGACAGAAGGTGGAAATTGGTGAAGGATCCCAAAGTAGCAGTTCCTAGAATAGGAAGAGACATCGGTAGAGAGGTCCAATTTCTGTTCCCTTCTATCTTCCCCTGCCTGAGGGTGAGAACACGGAACCAAAGCTGAGGGGGGATACTTGGACACCTCTTGGTGGGGCCAACTGGACCAACCAGCTTATCCTTCTGTGTTTCACCCCAGTTTCTACCATCAGTTCTTCAAAAAGCCCTCGGACTAGCCATCCTATGGTAGCCTGTTCCTAGAGAGACCTCTTACTTACTTAGCTCTGCTTTCTGTCTCTTAAGCTCCGACTTATGAATTTACAATAATCTTATCACTAAAACTCTATGGTCTATGAATTTCTTTAATTTCAGAGACAAGAATCCAAAAGCCACTGGCTTTGGTGGCCCTTGAGTTTTCCAGGATCTTAGCCTCTGATGCTTAGTTCACTAAGAGCTGAGAAAGGCTCTGTGAAACCCAAAGACACCCCAAATTTTCTGGCACCTCTCCCATGCCATCAGTTCTGAGAAGGCAGTGGGGTGGCCCTGGAGGAGGGCTTTAAGATGGTGAAGTTTCTGACAGCTGTATTCTACCAAAGCTGGGCCTCCCAGTCTCTCTGGCCCAGGGAACAGAAGGGTTAAAAAAAAAAAAAAAAAAAAAAGGAATTTCCTTGACCGTCCTTGGCACCTCTGTAGACTGCCCTATCCCATGTACCTGAGTATTTGTCTTCACCACAAGTCTCTGAAGATTGCTGACCAGGCCCTAATGGACAGGGTTGCTGATGGAGGGGGATGCTGCTATGTAGATAGAGGTGATGTATAGAGGATACAGGGACCCCAAGCCCTAGCTAGGTCTGCCGGTACCTCTAAGTAGGACAGAGGATTCCAGTAGGGGCCAGGAGCCTCACCATACTGCCCAGAACTTAACACCTGACTGTGATGTGGGGACTAGACCCTTCTTGGGGACCAGGAGTTCTGGGTTACCTTCCAACTTTTCAGCCTCTGGCCAGCTCTGCCATTTCCAGCCCCCCACCCCCCTGGGAGGGGGCGGGAATGTCATGAAGGTCACACGGGCAACACTTCACCCTAGGCTTGGGCAGAGGTCAGAGAGTCCTAAGTGACACTATTACTAAGTGGATCTCCTCCATCTGCTTCTCTCTCTTCTTCCTCCACCACCTCTAAAGGTCACCCCAGGCCCCTCCCTCCTCTAAACTTCAGGAAATCGAAACTCAAATTCTGTGCCCCTCCTCCTTCCAAAAGTCAAGGAAACCGAAAGTTAGCTTCTAGGCTCCCTCACCTCGGCCAGTTCACTTTCTCTTCTAGTTCCCATGCCTCTCGTGGTTGTCTGAAGCCTGTGGTGCCTTGTTCATGGTCAGTTCTATGTAGGACCCAGGATCTGAGCAGGAAGATGGGAGTAGGTGCCCCAGGGTCCCCAAACTTCTTAGGGTCCCCAAACGACAGGTCAGAGTAGGTCTTCCCTGTAGCGCTCAGTGCTCCTATTACCCCCAAGGGCTCCTGGAAACTCCTATAGGAGCATCCTCCTCTTACTCACAGGGAAGATCAGCCACGATAATGAGTGTTACAGCCCTCAGTGTGTGCTCGCTACAGGGGAGAATTCCACAGACAGAACTGGGGAGAGGCGTGATTCCATGACCTCAGACTGTTGTGAAAGCTTCCATCACTAGAGGGCGCGTGCGGTCCAGCCTGGAACTGGGTCTGGCTGCACTCACTGCCTGCGCCATCCTCCTGGGATTGGATTGGTCTGATTCCCTCCCTAGCTGTGCCTGATGATGAATTAAAGGGATAAGGGCGGCCTCAGCTGATAAGGGAAGAGGGCACGTGTGGCACCTCCAAGTCTCATAGCCATCAACTTAAAGTCACTAGATGCGCACGCGACAACAGCCACATGCCACACCTGAGTCCCCATCGTTCAGCCCCTTGCCCTAGGGTAGATTCCCTCCAGTCCTCACCCACAAAACCTGTTCACCAGCTGGGCAGATAACTGAGGCTCTTAGTCCAACAAGTCTTCCATCTTTCAAATTTCTCCAGATGTCTGGGCAGCAGCCGTGGCCCTCAGAGTACAGAACAGAGATAAGGCCGGGGTTCCCGAGTGCTCAGGCTGCCCTTCCAAATGAGACTGCACCACCCCCAAGTCACCCAAGACCTAGGAGCTGCCTGGGGTGCTCTGGGTTGGCAGAGTTTCCAGTTGGCATGAAAACTTGTGTGTATGTGTGGAGTAGGGGGAGGGAGAGGGTTCCAGGGCTCTGGAAGCTGAGGCACAGTGGCCCAGGCTGCTTGTGGCCTCCAGGCCAGGTGCAGAAAGCTGGGAACTTTAAGAGTTCATTGCTGGGGCAGGTATGTGTAGAGGGGATGGGATTCAGAAGGAAAGCAGGGGACTCTCAAGCACAATTTAATTTAATTAAGGTTTGGAGGAAGACTTGACTGTACTGGTGGGTCAGTCCTTTGGAACCTGCTTGCCTGGGAGAAATGAATTTATTCCATAGGAACATTTGTGCTCCTCTCTTGGGCTAGTAGACTCCTACAACAAAGGATCCCAAGAAATTGGAATTCCTCAGAAACTTCCTGCTGGGAGGACAAAGCCCAGGAAACAACAGGAGGAACAACTTGCCCCCTGGAGAAAGATTTACCTATTATACTTGGAGCTGAGGTCATGGTGGAGGCCCCCATAGCTTGTCTGGACAGCCCATGGGAGCCCCCACATCTTGTCTGGATAGCTCATTGGGGACCTCCACATCTTGGCTGGACAGCTCATGGGGGCCCCCACATCTTGTCTGGACAGCCCATGGGGGCCCCCACATCTTGTCTGGACAGCTTACTTGTGCACATCTCATCTTCTGTTTAAAACTTACCTCCAAGTTAAGACCCCAAAGATGGATTTAATGAGGTCTGGCCACTGGATCTCTTTGTCCCTCTTCCCAATGTGGCTATACTGACTCTTTTAATTGGCTTTTTGAAGATGGGTGGCCAAACTTGGCTTGTTGAGGCACTAGTTGCAAACTTAAGTGCCATTAACACCTTTAAAATAAGACACGGAGGGCAGAGAAACAGTGCAAAAGCCCACCGTATCAGGGAAAACAAGCTTGAATTTTGGCAGGTATTCAAAATAAGAGGAGGAGGGGAGGGAAAGAGATAAAGAAAAGTGGGTAAGCGTGTGTGCTGGATAGTTTTATGTCAAAATGCACAGGCCAAGTCTGAGAAGGGGGACCATCAATTAAGAAAATGCTTCCAGGGGCTAGAGAGATGGCTCAGGGATTAAGAGCACAGGCTGCTCTTCCAGAGGATCAGGATTCAGTTCCCAGCACCCATATGGCAGCTCACAACTGTCTATAACTCCAGTTCTAGGGGTCCTAACACTCTCACACAGACATACATGCAGGCAAAATACCAATGCACATAAAAATAAATAAATCTTAAAAAAAGAAAGAAAATGCCTCCATAAGATCAGGCTGTAGGCAAGTTTGTAAGGCATTTTATTTTTAAGTTTAATTTAAAAAATGTGCATTGGTGCTTTGCCCTGGAACTGGAGTTACAGACAGTTGTGAGCTGCCATGAGGATGCCGGGAACTGAAGTCAGGTCCTCTGGAAGAGCAGTCAGTGCGCTTAACGACTGAGCCATCTCTCTAGTCTCTTAAAGCATTTTCTTAATTAGTGACTGACAGGGGGTGGGGCAGGGATGGGTGGGGATACAGCCCATTGTGGGTGGTTCCATTCCTGGGCTGGTGGTCCTGGGTTCTATAAGAAAGCAGACTGAGCAAGCCACAAGGAGCAAGCCAGCAAGCAGTGCCCCTCCATGACCTCTATATCAGCTCCTGCCTCCAGGTTCTGGCCCTGTTTGAGTTCCTATCCTGACTTCCTTCAATAATAGACTATGATGTGGAAATATAAGCCAAATAAATTCTTTCCTCTCCATCTTGCTTTTGATCATGGTGTTTCATCATAGCATAGTAACCTGTTGTGGGAATTCATTCTCCAATAGCTTTGGGGTACTGGCCTTAAGGCATGGTTTCTTGTCTGCAGATGTGATCTCTTAAAAGGAAACAGAGGTCATGCAGTCTTGGGTTGTAAAGACTGTGTCATGAAGTAGCATGTGGCTGGTTCCCAGCTCCTTTGGGCAGAAGGGAAGGACTTTGCATCTGGCTGTCCTGTATCCATGATTCTGTTTTCCTCATAGCATCCCTTAACACAGTGCATACAATGTTTGATACTGGTAAGTTTTCATGTGAGGCTTCATGACTTCTATTTCAAATGCCAATTCTAACTATATATGTTTGTTAAGTTATATAGACTTTGAGTCTGGTTGATGTTTGATGAGTGTTTTTTCTTGTTTTTTTTTAAGAAAAAGACTTATTTTAATTTTCTGTGTGTGTATTTTGTCTATCTATATTGTAAGCAAATTGTGGCAGCTTGAATGGGATGGAATGGGCAAGGATTCTGGTACTTGGGAGCCATAGAATACTGAGTTTTACAGCTCGGATGGAAAAGTATTCTGGCAGCTGGGAGCTAAGGAACACCATAGGTCACAGTAAGTGTAGCAGCTTACAGCCTTGCTCCAAGGAAAGGCTTCCCCAGAGTAACAGCACTGCTCTGGCAGGGGAGGGCTTCCTCAGTGAAGTTGTTACAGTTCCAGAGTGTAACAACTCCACTTTGCTAGGGAAAGGTTTCTCCTGCCAAAGTGTTACAGCTCCAGTTACTCTGCTCTGCTGTGTTCTGGCTCCTCCAAAAAGTTGTTACTTCTCTCCTCTGCTCCATTCTGGCAAAGGAAGGTTTCACCCAAATCTCATTTAAGAAATTTATTGGGAGGGAAGAATCCAGGAGAGTGGCTGCCCTCTAGTGGCAGGGGACAGCCGGGCAGGTGGACAGCCACAAACTGAACAGGCACAGGGTTTATATAGGGCTTCTTAGGGGGGCATTTTTCCAGGTAGATTTCCAGGGTGGGGGATTGGTCAGATTTCAACCCCCTGAGCTCAGATTAACTAGATATCATGATCAGGGATTGGTTGGTTTTCTGCTCAGGTTCAGGGTCAGATTTGGCTCTGGTTGCAGGGTCAAAGTATGTTTCTTTGGCTCTGCTCAGGGTGTATTTCTTTGGCTGGCCCCTTTTCCTTACATATATGTCTGTGTAAGAAGGTGATGACATCTCCACAAACTAGAGCTACAGACAGCTGTGAGCCACCATGTGGGTGCTGGGAATTGAACCTGGGTCCTTTGGAGGAGCAGCCAGTTTTCTTAACTGCTGAGCCATCTTTCTAGGCCCTTATTTGCAAGCTTTTTTAAATAATAAAGTTTATTAGAAATAAAAATGTTTTTAATTAAAAAAAGCAGTAAGAAAAGGAGAACAATTAAAAATGCTGCGTTATTGGGCATGTTTGAGTTCACTCTAGGCTCTTGTGTCAGAATTAAAGACCGGACCAGGGACACATAGAATTAGAAATAGACTTTAGACAGGGAACACACTCACAGGAATGGGAATGGATTAGTGGGCTAAGGAGCCCCCAAAACATCCATCATGAAGTGTAGAACCCTTTCAAGACCTTTATATCGCCCCTGTCCTTTGTATTTTGCTGTGCTGTGGGCTTATCCTGCACATGCTCTGCTCATTAGATGGTGCCCAAGTAAGGGAGGGTTTCTAGTGTTTCACTTTAATCTTGCCTGGGCGTGTCAGTTTGTTGTATGATGCTCAGGTGGAGAGGGTACTTAAGTTTCAGTCTCCAGTCTCTACTCTTCTGTCATTAGAGCCCTTGGGACTGAGGCGGGAGGCGGCTAAGCACCTGCTGGGGAAGGCACAGATGGCAGAGTCAGACTGGGGAAACCCTGGTCAGTAATAACTAGCAGTAATAGCAGGAAAGGCTGGCCAGGCTTTGGAGGCATGACAGGCCCAGAACCCATTGGATCAACTGCAGAGGAGGGGTCATCCCTCTCTTGGATCAGATGGTGACACCACATCTGACGCCTCACTTTAAAGCCTTGGTAGACCTCTGAGAGCCCAGGCACACACTTCTCTTCCCTCTCCCCTCCCTGGCCTTAAACTTCAGGAAATTGAAACAGCTTCTCTGCCTGCTTCAGGAAGTGAAACTTAACCTCGGCATTTGCCTCTCCTTCAATTCTCCCTACTACCAGTTGTAGCAATCAGGAAATTGACTGCCATAGCCTTCATTTTTCTTAATGTCACCCCTAGAACTCTAGGTCCCTCTGACTACCCTTCTCCCGGGAGGAATCGGACCAGACCACCCCTTGGCCAAGGTTTCAGACCAGAGGGTTGCTTAAGAGTCCCAGACCACAAGTAACCTCAACTCTTGAGCCTTGTGGCACCTCCCCATCACAAAGAGGGAGCTAAGTCAAGACAAGGAGGAACCCAGAGCTTGTTAGGTGTCCCTGTCACTGCTGGTGCCATTCTGGCTCCCACGTCCTAGGAGTCTAACTCAGGACCCTCCCTGTAGGGGACAGTGTAAGCCATACCTGCTAGAAGCTAGCTACAGGTGTGCCTGACCACGCCTGTCAGGGCGTGGTCAAGGTGAGGTCAGGATGATTCGTGATAGGGTTTTAAGGGGCAGCAAGGCACATGGGAGCCTTCTCTCTGGCCTCCCTACCTTGCTGCCCCTGGCACGCTCTGGCTTGTGTTTGGCTGGTGTTTAACTAAATAAAGATATCTTATTATGAATCTTCTCATATTACCTCCCACTGCTTTGTTACTAATTCTTAGACCAGCTAGGGTCATAGGCCAGTGTCTCTAGGAAAATTACCTAGATCTGTCATGAGCACCATAGTGGATACCGTTGACAGTCCAAGCTTCCTGTAGAAAACTGACTTCTACACATTTCTCTATTGCCTTTTGATAGTCCTGTAACAAAGCACCGCTCTGTCTAGTGTTGCAGGAATTTTGCCATCAGTCTATTAGCCAATTGTAAGGAATGGCTTGGCCCGAATGCCGGAATAAAAAGCCAGGACAGGGGCAAAGGACCCTCTCTTGGGGTAGGTAAGCCATGGGAGCACTTGTCGTTGGTGGCTTGGTTTTCATCTTCTTTTGGAATGGAGCAGTGGTAGCATCAACAGAAATAGTAACGGTATTATCTGCTGGTCCCACTGTAGCAGCAGCTTCATTCTGCCTTGTGAGTGTAGTATCTTGATTCCTGATTTGTCTGCTAACAAATCTTATGTGACTCCATTTGGCTTCCTTCATCATCTGGTTCCCACCGTGGGGCCTGATACCACGTGGCTTGATCATACCCTTCCAGGGCCCACTTACTGCATGCCCAAACCCTAGCTTGTAAAATCCCCACTCTGGAGCACCGAGCAACAGTTGCACCTGTGAGCAATTGTAGCAAATATGCTCAGAAACAGTCTGGTGTAGGTGTAAGGTGCAATCCCCCTGCCCCCCTTACGTTCCTGCCTCCCTGGGCAGAGACTCCATCCTAGATAGGGTCTGCTCCTGTAACTTTGTTATGATAGGGTAGGACAGTCCTTCAGATTTTCCTGCTTCTGAAAATGATCTGTCAGATATTCTAGGCCTATAAGCCAAAACTAGATGCCACAACATTACAAAAAAACCTTGGGTTTCTGTCACTTCTTACATTTTTTGGAAGTCGCTTGCTTGTGCTTCCTACTTACTCAGGTAATATTTTCCTTCTCAGATCTTTGATGGGGTCAAAGCCTAGATATTAGTTACAATCCTCCCAATCTTAGCTAAGGACATATTAGGTATGAAATTAGGCTCTTCAGGAAAGGACAACTGCTGGAGTAATCTCTGTAATTTGCCAATTACTTATGGTCTGGACACCTAGAATCTGTTTGATATTGTTCTTGTGTTTCATTTTTGTATAGATTATTACCTTTTCTTTCTTCTGGACAATACTTGTATATAGTTTTACGTTAGGATTAGAACCTTCTTAATTAGACAAAAAGGGGGAAATGTTGTAGGAATTTTGTCATTGATCCATTAGCCAATTATAAGCAGTGGCTTGGCCCAAAGGGTCCATTAGAGGGTCCATGACCCAAATACCCAAATAAAAGGCCAGGGTGGGGCAGAGGACACTCTCTTGGGGTAGGCAAATTGGCTGCAAGCCATAGGAGCACTGGTGGCTGGCAGCTTGGTTTTCATGCCCCTTTGAAATGAAATAGCAGCAGAAATGGCAACAGTGTATCTGCTGGTCCCACTGAGGCAGCACCTTCATTCTGTCCTGAGTGTAGTACTGGATTCCTGCTTTGTCTGTTAATAAACCTTATATGACCCCATAGTTTCCTTCCTGACAAGCTTTCCTCAGAGCTTTTCCTTTCTCACCGTGAGCCTGGGCAGAGACTAGATCCTTTCTTTGACACCTTCAGGGTATATACTGGTCATGGGAGTCCTGGTCTTGAGAATCATGGCACTGACAAAGCCACTCCCTTCCTGGACTTCTCAAGACCACCCTGACTGGTGATGTCTCCATGATCTACCCTACTAAGTAGTATTTCCAGGACACTGATGTCACCATAGCCAGGAACTGTGTGGATCATATCCAATTGTGGTACCACCCACCAGGCCACAGACTTGGGGAAATCTGAGAAATAGCCTCCTTAGGCACCCAGACCTATGAAGAGTTGCTTCAAGGTCTGTCTCCATTAGTCCCTTGTCCCTCAACACCCACAGCAGTGAAACCCATTAAGCTAGGTATGTGACAACTGCTTCTAAGCCTAGAATTTAAGCGAGATCCTGCTTCAGAAACAAAAAGCCTTAGAGCCAGGTGTGATGGTGCATACCTTTAATCCCCACACTCAGGAGCAGAGGCAGACTTACTACAAGTCTGTGGGTAGCTAGTCTAACATAGTAAGACCTTGTCTTAAAATACCAGAATGAAAATGGTGTGTGTATGTGTGTGTGTGGAGGGGAACACACCAAACCAAATTAGGTGGAAAAACAACACAAAACAAAGCCATTTATAGGGTAGATACAAATCATTTGCCTGGCCACACTTCCGTGGCTTGAACCACAATGTGGTTTTTGAAGGACAGGTGGCATACAGCAGGCCTTTAAGTCCTTGGTGTAGATGAATAATGTGTGACCAGCCTGGTGGGTCCACCTTTATGGGCAGCTGTGCTTACACAGCAATACTTCCAGTCTCATTCTCTCTCTTTTTTGTGACCAGCCTGGTGGGTCCACCTTTATGGGCAGCTGTGCTTACACAGCCCGGGACAGCATACTTCCAGTCTCATTCTCTCTCTTTTCTCCCTCCTTCTCTCCCTTCCTTATTCTTGGACCCATCCCACTAAATGGGCCTGGATTCCTGCAATTCACTATGCACACCCGGCTGGCTTCACAGATAGCTGCTTCTGTCTTGCTGGCATTAAAGGGATTTATCACCACACCAGGCTGGTCTTTCAGAATCTCTTATGCAGAGCTGTGGGTTTGCAGGATCCGAAGGTCCCTCCAGACTGGAGGGGAAAGAAGACCCTGCAAGGAGGAAGGGGGGTAACGGCATCCAGAACAGGGCAGGAATGGGTGGGAACAGTTTATTTGAGACAGTAGAATGGCAGCAGGAAGCCAGTGTGCGCAGAAAGGGCAGGCAGGGACTCAATTGGATCTAGGGGCGGGAGCCTTCGTTGGGAGTGGTTGTCCTCCATGCGCAGCCTCCTGGGCTTACCTGGGCACAGTAATGCCAGGGGAAGGAGTTTTGGTGGAGACAGAGGCCTTCTGCTCTAGAATCTTCCAGGTCCCTTTTGCCCATCCCAGATTCCAAATGGCTTCATTCACACACAGACACCCTGTGCATAGAGGTGTCTATTCATTTGGGTAGACAGACACACTGGTACTGACCTAGGTACTCTGAGACTCCAAGGAAGGGTTTTTAACCCTTTCCTGGTTCCCCAAGGGAGGCCACAGGATTGGCTCTAGACACAAGAGTAGCTAGTCCCACTTCAACAGAGCAGATGTGGGTGAATTTAGTGCTTAGCCCTGATGCTGACAGAGTGTGGAGGGGGACTAGATACACCCAGGAGGAGCTGAAGGCTCCTAGGGTCCCCCAAGCTTTCCTTCCTGAGCTGGGGGGGAGATATGGGGAACACACGGAGATGGTCAGGGGTCCAGTTGCAGCAGAGCCAGCAAGCTGAGCAGGAGTCCAAGGCCCAGGAGTGGGATGCTAGCACGAAGTCCGAGGCCAGCTGTGCTGATATTGCAGAAGGAATGTTGGCAGCAGTAGCTATTGATGGATGCCACACCTAAGTTGACATTGATGTTCTCACGAGGGCAGATTTCGGAACAGCCCTTATTCAGGGTGTAGCCAAGGTTGACATTTCCTGTATGGAGAGTGAGATTGAGGGGTAAAACATAATGGGCACTAGGAGATGAGGAAAGCACTGTGAATCCCTGGTCCAGGCAGGGAGATGGCTACTTACTCACCAAAGCCAGCAGCAGCAGATACTGTAACACAGTAATTGTCTGAGCTTGGGCATACGGTTGGCCACAGGCATTTCATATTGCTCTTCTGATCGGTGCAGGAGAAGCATATCAGGGAATGGGCTGCAAAAAGGACATGCTATAGGTGATACCTGCCCGCTCCCTGGGCAAGACTTTCAGGGAAGGGTACTGTTCAGGGAGGGGGGTTTGAACCCTTTTCTGACAATGAGCAACTACAATATGCTCAACCCTGGGTCAGAGACAAAAACAAGATGACAAGTGACATTAGACTTTGGTCCTAGAGGGGCTAAGTGTCTGTCTCCTTAAATACAAGGTGACAACAGTTTAGCTGGGCCAGCACTGAGGCAGGAGAACTAGGTCATTTTGCTAGGGGAGCAGCCCTGGGCATCCCTCAGGGGAAATAAGAATGAAGGTTAGGCTGCATCTAGGGTCTCAGTGCTCATACCTTGCTCCACACCCAAAAGGGCTGCCAGCAGTACAGGCAAGAAGACCCTCATGTTGAAAGTGGCAGACATCTGCTGAGGGCGCACAAGCCAAAGAAGCCTGCTGTGAGAGAGGCAGTTGGTTAAGGGACAGGCTATCTATCCACAACCCAGGATCCTGGTTTAGATAGAACCACTCCACACCTCCCCAGTGAGCCCAGTGTCCCCTTTTGCAAATGCTTCCAGATAGAGCAGGAAAGCAGTTTTAACGTCCTATTGCCCTGAGGCTAGCCACTGTGACAACTTCAGTTACTATCTTATCTAGTGCTTCCTGGCCCCTGCACCAATCAGAAGAGCAATCTGTACTGCTCAAACCCAGCCATGTGCTACAATCACACTTATACAAGTCATATGGTATCTGAGAACCCTCCTCCTTTTGAAACCTTTGGGAGCCAGAATTTCCCTTGCCCCATGGGCTGCTAATCAAATCTCTACCTCACTATACCTGACCCCTCCTGCTGCTATTGTGGCCAATTATTAAAAGAGCTTTTATCTGACATCCCTTTTGGCACCTGCGGAATCTTTTTCCAAATTCAACCAATGGTACCTTCCAGCTAACATTCCTTCCGAAACTTGGGGGCACCAAGGCCAAGTAAGGGGAACCAAGAATTCTCAGAATGCTATAGAAGTGGGGGTGGTGGTTTAAGGAGTAGACCTGAGGTCAGGGCAGTGGTCTGTTAAACGAGCAAACAAGAACCCTAAACCTTCCTTGGGCCCTGTGAAACAAATGCAGGCCACTCCTGGAGGAGGCTGAAGTAAGCATTGTGGTTCGGATGTAAAGGGCGCAGTTGTAGCAGCTTACAACCCTGCTCCAGGGAAAGAGCATTGTTTCCCCATTGTAACAGCTCTGCTCTGGCAGGGAAGGGTTTCCACAGCACAGTTTAGCTTTGGTCCTCCAGTGTAACAACTCCAGGCTCTGCTAAGGGAAGGTTTACCCAGGGAAATGTTACAGCCCTGCTCTGCTCCAGCTAAAAGTTGCCACATCTCTCCATTCCGGCAAAAGAAGGTCTCACTCAAACCTCATTCAAGAGATTTATTGGGAGGGAAGAATCCAGGACTGTGGTTGCCTCTGCCAGGGTGAACAGGCAAAGTGAACAGGCACAGGACTTATATAGGGCTTCTTAGGGGTGGAGTTTTTCCAGGGAGATGATTTTTCAGGGTGGGAATTGGTCAGATGTCAGACCCTTGAGCACAGATTGGCTAGATCTTGTGGGTTTTCTGCTCAGGGATTGGCTGGTTTTTCTGCTTAGTTGGTCAGGGGCAGACTTGGCTCTGGTTTCAGGACCAAAGTGTGTTTCTTTCACTGGCCCTTTTTAGCCTATTTACTCTAATTTCAGGGCCAGGGCATATTTCTTTCACTGGCTCTGATTCTATGGCCAAAGTGTGTTTCTTTGGTGGGCTCTTTTTCCCTACATGGATGCCTCTGGGCTTTGCCATTCCCTTCTGTACTAGGTGGGAACTCAGGACCCATTTCCAGAAGATAACTCCATTCCTCCACCTGTGTCTGGGAAGGGCACACTAGGCAGCCAGGTGGCCATGGGGCATTCCTGGGCCCGTGGGCAGGAGTCTGTGGCACAGGGTAAAGAAAGCTGGAGAAAGAACCAGCTTGCTGGGTTTCAATGTCCTATTTTGAGTACCACTGGCCTCCTGTGGGGGGAGTACACTGATGGCATCTGTTGAGTGGGAGAGGGGCATTCCGGAGACTGAGAGGAATAGCGGGGTGGTTTACAGACTTGGGGAGGTCCTCTTAGAGAAAGAGGGTGCAGTGGGAGATGAAGTTGTGGTGTCTTTCAGGATCAGCCCTAGGCCTCTCCTGTCCTAAGAAGCTAACATCTTGTAGCAGGTAGCAAAAACCCCAAATGGTCAAGTTCAGTGCCAAGCCCAGCTGGGCCTGTTCTAGCTTCCAGGCAGTACACACAGGGAGAAAAGAGTCTCGTGTCTTTTCTAGACAGAGTGAGATTTTGGAACGAAGGAGCCCTGAGCTGTCTGATAGGAAGGAAGTTCTGGCATGCATAGCCACAAACAGGTCATGGAGGCAACCCACCGTCCATCGGAGGACTCACAGCACGACCGACCAGAAAGGCTGAGGGAAGGTACCAGGGGAGTGGTTGGAAACCAGTTCAGTGCGATGAGTCTATCCACAGTTACCATCTGCAAGCCACCGGGCAGGGCTGCCTGGGGCCCAGGAACTCCTCCTCAAACTCACAAGGCTCACCTGTGAAAGCCAGGTGTCTAATTGACAGGCAACTGGCCAAGGAAGGACCCTGTTTAGGTCAACCGAGCTAGTCAGGGACTAGCTAGGCACAACCTCTCAGCATTGGTATGCAAAATCCTGGACAAAGACAAAGAGCTTCCGCTCCTAAGTCTGGGGAGGATCCTGACTCAATTCACCTTGTCAGAGGACCCCGCTACTCCTCTAGTTTACAAGGGTGTATCCCTGGAGATCCCAAGCAGACAAATCAGCATTGGTGGAATTGAGAAGGGGAACCCAGTGAGGGCTCAGCAGGGGCCTTTGCCCTTTTCTGCTCCAGATCTCCAGGAACATTCCGGGAGGTTTGGGGGGATGGGAGGAATGGAGCACGCTGCAGGGGGCCTCGCAGGCTCCAACCACTCCGCACCCGGGTACCGAGCGCCCAGACCCCAGACGCTGCGGCCAAGGCCACTAGCTCTCTCCCAGCGCATCCGCGCCGTGGCCCGGTCCTCGCGTGACGCGTGACCGCTTAGGGCCGGGCCCCGTGGACTCACCTCCGGGCGAAGCGACCCCGAAGAGCTCCGGAAACCACAGGTCCTGGAGATTGCCAGAGTCTGGAGATTCCCAGGCAGGCGGAGGGGGGCTGGGATGGCGGGGGCGGGCGACGGGCGGGGCGTTCCAGGGCTGTGGGCGGGTCTCTGGTGGGTGGGGAGAACAACTCGGGCTGCCCAACTCGAGGTCCTGTGCCCCTGGTCTAACAGCACAGCCACTCATTTGAGTTTCGGATCCCAGTTCCTACCCACTCGCCCACCGCTGCGGCCCCCAGGTCCCCGGTGGACACCCAAAAGTCGGGCGGGGACCGCCCTAAGTGCCCTATGCCACAGAGTATAGCGTCTGAGCTCTGGCGTGGCCGGCCGCTTTCCACCTGGCCTGCGCTTCAGCCTGTCTGCCTTCTCTTGCAGGACAGATCCGGAGAGGGTGGAAGGTCCAGGTTTTTGCGGCAATTAATGATACTAGGACCTGTGCGCAGGCTCTGTTTGCTTCCGGAAGGAGTGAGAAGACAGAATGCATCCCGAAGCCCTAGGCGCTCATGGGAATCTCTGCTGCCGCGGGGTCTGACGAAGGCTGGACCGAGGATGCCGCATCTCCGGCCCTGCTGGGTGTCAAGTCCCTCCGGGCCATCCCTCTCTTGGGGTGAGGCAAGAGGACAGGGTTTCGGGGAAGGAGACCATTGCCACTGGTTTGGACGGATCTGGTTCTCAATTCCTCTTCCTCTGTGTGCAGGGCTGCCTTTTACACTCCACTAGGTGGATATGGAACCGAGGCTCTAGTCAACCTGTCTTGGCTATCATCTAAAGTGCTGAAGCTCCAGTTTTTATAAAGAAACCCCCAACCCTTCTGTTTTTAACTAAGCGTCTTCCAGTATTCTGTTCCTAGTGCTCAGGAAGTATTCTTGCACCCAACAAATATTAATGACCACTTGCTGAGTGTGGGCCCTGTAGCAGGACCATGGGGCCCATGTCCTCCTTATGTGTGATACTTCTGGGGGAGACCAGGGCACCAAGAGCAGGCATAGGCAGCAGGCCCCTTTGCTTGGCAGGGCTGTTTGTCTCTTTCCCTTCCCTCCTCACCTTCCTTCTGCAGAGCCCTCCCCAGGGGATTGTGGGCTGCTGAGCCTCTGCCACCTGCTTTTCTGAGAGTCACACTTCCCTTTTTGATCACGCATGTGGAAATAAAGATTTTGCACCTGATCTTCCTCACAGTCTAAGGAATGATGCCAGCGGGCTTCTACATCAGGCTGACCTTCTCAGCTGAACTTCTTATGGTCTGTCCTTTAATCCAGTCAGTCCACTGGGGACAGACACCATGGAAACTGGCCAGGTGCTGTCTGTCCTTTCACAAATCTGTGATCCCATTCCTCCTCTGGTGGCTCAGCTCTTCCTGTCCACTCATTCACCCCAAGGCAGCCTAGAGTCACATGAGAGAGTCTTTCCACTGTCACTGTGTGGCTTCCGTAACACCTAGGTCATGCATCTTACTTGCCTAGACAGTGTCTTCTGTTTGACTTTATCTCACGTGTCCTCAGTCCAGACCTCACAGACCTCGTGACTAGGACATTCCGATTTCTAGTACAGCTGGAACAGCTGTCTCTTTCGGAGATCCCATTCCCTACTGTTTCCTCTTCCTGAATAGAATGCTCCCATAACCCACCCTTCAGATGCTGTTGGGAAACAGTCCTGAATCCACCATGATGGTGTCTGTTTCCTTAACCTGAAACATCTACACTTTTAGAGCAATGGTAACAAGAAGCTATTTTTAAATTAAAAAAACAAAAAGCCAACAGGGTCTGATGTAGCCCAGAGTGTTCTTGAACTCACTGAGTAGCTGAGGATGAACTTCTAATCCTTATGCCTCTACTTCTGAATACGAATCACTGGTGTATACTGCCATACCAGGTTTATGAGTGCTGAGGATCAAACCTAGGGCGTTGGGCATGCCACATCTCCAGTCTCAATTATGTTAATCTTTATGGTCCCTCAATATGGACTAATAATGACCATCCGTGGTGTGTCTTAGGCTTATGCCAAAGGGATTGTCATGGGCTGGAGTTCTGTGGCCACTGATGGGTTTCTACCAATGTTTTCTGTGATGATGAGGTTTCCTTATCTAGAACTTTTTGTCTTCTCTCTGGGTGTAGAAACACCCACTTCAACAGTCCCTGGGGACTTGCAGGGACAGGGGCAGTATGCCTTCAGTTCAAGTGGACAGAATGATCTGTCTTAGAACAAGGGATTTCTTCTACTTTGGAACAGTGGGCTCTCACCCTGTACCCTGCAGTGCAGTAGTCCTTTCTGTCTAGCAAGCTGTGGTAGTTTGAATAAGAATGTGCTCCCCCCCCATATATTTGAATGTTTAGTTATCAGGGAGTTGTACTACTTGAAAAGGATTAGGGTGTTATGATAAATCTTTCTGCCAAAGCCACCCGAGCCCCACCACCATGTTGGTGGTCTCCGCCAGCTGCCTGAGTTCTGCCTGCCACGTGGATGGACAAAATAATACAGACACATATTAGGTACAAAGCTGCTTGGCCAATGACTAGGATTCTGGTCTGTTAGCTCAGTCTTAATTATCATAAATCTATATATTTTATAAGACTTATCGGCTCGTGTGGGTGGGGAGAACCCCTGGGCCTCCCCAACTCGAGGTCCTGTGCCCCTGGTCTAACAGCACAGCCACTCATTTGAGTTTCGGATCCCAGTTCCTACCCACTCGCCCACCGCTGCGGCCCCCAGGTCCCCGGTGGACACCCAAAAGTCGGGCGGGGACCGCCCTAAGTGCCCTATGCCACAGAGTATAGCGTCTGAGCTCTGGCGTGGCCGGCCGCTTTCCACCTGGCCTGCGCTTCAGCCTGTCTGCCTTCTCTTGCAGGACAGATCCGGAGAGGGTGGAAGGTCCAGGTTTTTGCGGCAATTAATGATACTAGGACCTGTGCGCAGGCTCTGTTTGCTTCCGGAAGGAGTGAGAAGACAGAATGCATCCCGAAGCCCTAGGCGCTCATGGGAATCTCTGCTGCCGCGGGGTCTGACGAAGGCTGGACCGAGGATGCCGCATCTCCGGCCCTGCTGGGTGTCAAGTCCCTCCGGGCCATCCCTCTCTTGGGGTGAGGCAAGAGGACAGGGTTTCGGGGAAGGAGACCATTGCCACTGGTTTGGACGGATCTGGTTCTCAATTCCTCTTCCTCTGTGTGCAGGGCTGCCTTTTACACTCCACTAGGTGGATATGGAACCGAGGCTCTAGTCAACCTGTCTTGGCTATCATCTAAAGTGCTGAAGCTCCAGTTTTTATAAAGAAACCCCCAACCCTTCTGTTTTTAACTAAGCGTCTTCCAGTATTCTGTTCCTAGTGCTCAGGAAGTATTCTTGCACCCAACAAATATTAATGACCACTTGCTGAGTGTGGGCCCTGTAGCAGGACCATGGGGCCCATGTCCTCCTTATGTGTGATACTTCTGGGGGAGACCAGGGCACCAAGAGCAGGCATAGGCAGCAGGCCCCTTTGCTTGGCAGGGCTGTTTGTCTCTTTCCCTTCCCTCCTCACCTTCCTTCTGCAGAGCCCTCCCCAGGGGATTGTGGGCTGCTGAGCCTCTGCCACCTGCTTTTCTGAGAGTCACACTTCCCTTTTTGATCACGCATGTGGAAATAAAGATTTTGCACCTGATCTTCCTCACAGTCTAAGGAATGATGCCAGCGGGCTTCTACATCAGGCTGACCTTCTCAGCTGAACTTCTTATGGTCTGTCCTTTAATCCAGTCAGTCCACTGGGGACAGACACCATGGAAACTGGCCAGGTGCTGTCTGTCCTTTCACAAATCTGTGATCCCATTCCTCCTCTGGTGGCTCAGCTCTTCCTGTCCACTCATTCACCCCAAGGCAGCCTAGAGTCACATGAGAGAGTCTTTCCACTGTCACTGTGTGGCTTCCGTAACACCTAGGTCATGCATCTTACTTGCCTAGACAGTGTCTTCTGTTTGACTTTATCTCACGTGTCCTCAGTCCAGACCTCACAGACCTCGTGACTAGGACATTCCGATTTCTAGTACAGCTGGAACAGCTGTCTCTTTCGGAGATCCCATTCCCTACTGTTTCCTCTTCCTGAATAGAATGCTCCCATAACCCACCCTTCAGATGCTGTTGGGAAACAGTCCTGAATCCACCATGATGGTGTCTGTTTCCTTAACCTGAAACATCTACACTTTTAGAGCAATGGTAACAAGAAGCTATTTTTAAATTAAAAAAACAAAAAGCCAACAGGGTCTGATGTAGCCCAGAGTGTTCTTGAACTCACTGAGTAGCTGAGGATGAACTTCTAATCCTTATGCCTCTACTTCTGAATACGAATCACTGGTGTATACTGCCATACCAGGTTTATGAGTGCTGAGGATCAAACCTAGGGCGTTGGGCATGCCACATCTCCAGTCTCAATTATGTTAATCTTTATGGTCCCTCAATATGGACTAATAATGACCATCCGTGGTGTGTCTTAGGCTTATGCCAAAGGGATTGTCATGGGCTGGAGTTCTGTGGCCACTGATGGGTTTCTACCAATGTTTTCTGTGATGATGAGGTTTCCTTATCTAGAACTTTTTGTCTTCTCTCTGGGTGTAGAAACACCCACTTCAACAGTCCCTGGGGACTTGCAGGGACAGGGGCAGTATGCCTTCAGTTCAAGTGGACAGAATGATCTGTCTTAGAACAAGGGATTTCTTCTACTTTGGAACAGTGGGCTCTCACCCTGTACCCTGCAGTGCAGTAGTCCTTTCTGTCTAGCAAGCTGTGGTAGTTTGAATAAGAATGTGCTCCCCCCCCCCATATATTTGAATGTTTAGTTATCAGGGAGTTGTACTACTTGAAAAGGATTAGGGTGTTATGATAAATCTTTCTGCCAAAGCCACCCGAGCCCCACCACCATGTTGGTGGTCTCCGCCAGCTGCCTGAGTTCTGCCTGCCACGTGGATGGAAGGGGAAAAGGGACACTTCCTGTTTCTCCTTTCTTAAATCTGAGTCTCCTTGCTATGTCTCTTCCAGCCTGGAACATCATTTCTCTACTACATTTCCCAGAATCCTCTTTGACTCCTAGTCCTGCCTAACTTGCTGTTTCATTGGACAAACAAGTACTTTATTCAATAATCAATAAGATGAACATACACAGTACATTCCCCATCATTAGGGGGTGTAGCTTTATTGAAGGAAGTATATCCCTGGGGATGGGGGTGGGCTTTGAGGTGTCAAAAGCCCAAACTAGGCCCAGTGTCACTCTCTTCCTCCTGCCTGTGGATCCAGATGCAGAACTCTCAACTACTTCTCTAGCACCGTGTCTGCCTGCAGGCTGTCATGCTCCCCACTATGATGATAATGGGCTTAACTTCTGAAACTGTAAACAAGCACCAATTAAATGCTTTCTTTTATAAGGGTTGCCTTGGTGGTGGTGTCTCTTCATAGCAATAGAACAGTGACTAAGACAGGATGTAACCTGTACCACTTCTTCCTCTCAAGTCTCTTGACTTTCCTGGATAGGATGTAATCTCACGAGGATGGCTAAAAGTTGGCCAACAAACCATCTGCAGGTCATAGCAGGAGAATATTGGTACCATAAGTCAGATTTTTCTTTGCTTGGTGATTCTTTCTGGATAGCTATCATTTCTTCTTTAGGCATCTACATGTCTGATGTCTTTTGACTTCTTGAAGATGGGTATTTCTATTTTCCCACAAAGGCAAGAACAGGACCCTGCCCTGACCTTTGTGAGGTTTCCTTACAACTTGTAGGATTGTCACACCCATGGATGAACTATCATTTCTCTTTATCAAGAGGTTTCTCCTGTTCAAACTGAATCTTGGTTAATTTTGATGGTATCCATAGCTAAACTCCTTCCCCAACGTAGCAAGTATCCTTGTTTCCATTCTAAGGTCAACACATCTTTGAAATACACAGGCTGATTTAACTCAGAAGTTTTTTCTGTTGTCCAGTGTCTTTCTGCAGCTGTTATTCCTTTCTCATTAGCATTAAGAAAATTCCAGATTAATAAGGCATTATGTAACCTGTCTGGGCGGAGGTCTTGGTTTCCTCTGCCTGTTTATTAAGGATTTCTTTAAAGTGTGATTAGATCTTTCAACAACTGCTTGTCCTGTAGGATTGTGTGGTATACCAGTTATATGCTTTATATTATAGTATGCAAAACTGTTTTTATTTTATTAGAGACATATGCTGGAGCATTGTCAGTCTAAATTTGTGCAGGTATACCCATGACAGCCATAACTTCTAATAGATTTGTAATTACAGAATCAGCCTTTTCAGAACTTAAAGCAGTTGCCCATTGAAATCCTGAAAACATGTCTATTGAATGGTGTACATATTTTAATTTTCCAAATTCTTCAAAATGAAGCACATCCATTTGCCAAATTTCATTTCTTTGAATACCTTTAGGGTTACTCCCTGCAGGTAAAGGAGTTTGGTTATAGAAGGAACAAGTAGGACTTTTTTTTTTCCAAATTCCTTGGCTTGTTGCCAAGTGATGGAAAAAAATTTTTTTAAACATTTTCTACTGACACAGTGCCTTTTTTTTTTAATCAAAATTTGAGGCCTCCAGAACACTTCCTATTAATAAGCAATCAATTTCATCATTACCTTGTACTAGAGGTCCTGGCAGACTCATATGGGATCTGATGTGTGTTATAGATATAGGATGATTCCTACTCCTGATAATTTCCTGTAATTGTCTAAATAACGAAGTTAATTTTGTATCATCAGGAATAAATTCAGCAGTTTCAATGTGTATGACAACTGTCTTTGCATTTTGAGAGTTGGTAACTATATTGAGAGGTTCTGTAAAATCCATTAGTACCATGAGAACAGCATATAGTTCTGACTTTTCCACAGAGTTATAAGGGCTTTGAACCACTTTACTTATGTTTCCTGATTTATAGCCTGCCTTTCCTGATTTATTTGCATCATTATAGAACATGGGGACTCCAGAGATTGGTGTTTTCCTTACAATGCACAGAAGGACCCAAATGGTTCTTTTTATGAATTTTATTCTGTCACTTTTGGGATAATGGTTGCTAACCAAAATTACCGCAAGCTCTTTGTCAACATTCATTGTCTTTCCATGAAGATGAAATTTCCTCACTAGTTAAAGGTACTATAATTTCTGCTGGGTCCATTCCTGTTGGTTGACAAAATGTTAATTTTCCCTTTAAAATCAAATCAGAAATCTTTTCTATATCATCATATGTCTTTAATTTCTTATTCTGTTTATTGTAGGAATATCTATTCCAATATAATATCTTTCCTCTGTATCAAAATCCCTGAAGGGTGTTCCCTAGATGGTAACATTACCAGAATGCAGTTGAGCTTTGGATCCACATGATCTACATGTGCTTCTTGTATTTTCTTTTCCATCAAAGCCAATTCTCTCTCAGCTTCAGCTGATAATTCTCTTAGACTATTAAAGTCCTTGTCCCCGTCTAGGGTCTTGTTCAAAATATTCAGTTCACGTCTTTCTAGTCCAATAGTGGTCTGTAGATAGGAAATCTTTCCTAGCAACTTTTGAAAATCATTAATAGTCTGCAATTGATTTCTCCTCAATTGTACTCTCTGTGGTCTAATTTTCTATAGACCTATTTTATATCCTAAGTAATTAATAGGATGTCCTCTCTGTATTTTTTCAGGAGCAACTTGTAATCACCAGTGAGGCAAAACTTTCTTTACTTCTTTGAACATTTTTTCTAAAGTGCCTGCTTTTGAATCAGCCAATAAAATTTCATCCCTATAATGGCAAATTATAGGTTGTGGAAGCTATACATGAATTATTTCCAATGGTTTTGGCACAAAATATTGGCACAGGGTGGAGCTATTTAACATTCCCTATGGGAATATCTCTTGACTGGCTAAGAATTATTATAAGTAGGCGAGGTGAAGGCAATTTTTTCTCTATCTTTTTTTTTTTTATAAAGGTATAGTGAAGAAACAGTCTTTTAAGTCAATAACTATAATAGACCATCCTTTATGTAACAGAGAAGGTAAAGGCATTCCAGGTTGTAAAGAGCCCATCAGCTGAATTAACTTATTTAAGGCTCCCAGGTCTGTCAGCATTCTCCATTTTCCAGATTTCTTTTTAATAGCAAATACAGGAGAATTCCAAGGGTTGGTAGATTCTTCAATATTTCCAGTATTTAGCTGTTCCTGAACCAGATGTTCTAAAGCCTGTAGTTTCTCTGATGTCATAGGCCATTGCTCAAACCAGACAGTTTAGTCAGTTAACCATTTTAAAGGTAGGGCTGTTGGTCCCAATGAGAGTTTGACAGTTGCTGTATCCTGTTTTTGTACAGCCTGGATGGTCTGTGACTGTTTTTTATAGTACCTTATAATATTCTTTCCATAAACATAGTTTGTTTATGGTATGTTTCTGAGACTGGAAGAGTGTTTATCTGGATATTCCATTGCTGCAACAGATCATGACCCCATAGATTCACTGCTGTATTAACCACATATAGTCTCAGCCTTCCTCTCTTTCCTTGTGGACCTATGCATTCAACCCATCTCATGCTTTGTTTTATGTGGAAAGCTGCGCTTTGTCAGCCCAAAAGATGGCGCCGGCTTCCGCCTTCCACCATCCCGAGGGTGAGAGCTCTTTGTGTTGGACAACTTCTTATCTGGCTAAG